AAGACACCATATTATTGAAAATTTAATTGTAGATGGAAAGTGAAAAAGAAAAAAAACAAACTGAGTTAACTGATCAACGATTTCTAAATACAGGTCAACGACGAACATTACATGCAGTACAAACTCAACTTGAAACAGAACGACGAAAGGTATTAGAAATGTTTGTTAATTTAAATATCAAAAATATAAGTAAAGAAAAATTCATATGATTTATCTCATATTCAATTGAAAAGTTTATAAAAAGAATTCTGATCTAATTATATTGACAATTTTATTGTTTATTTTTATTCTTTAGCGAAAAGAATATGATTATTCAATCAGACGCATTAAAAATGATATTTTAGCTAATTTTTCTGATCCACTCGATTATAAAAAATTAAGAATAGCTGTTGATAAGTTATATAAAAAACATGTTCAAAAGGAAGAGGTAAGTTGTTAAAAAATAGTACAATTAAATGATATTAGAGTCAATAGTTAAAATAAACAAAACTTGAGAGAAGCAGTCATAGTTGAGGATTAAAAATATCTATTTATTCTATACTAGGCAAAATATTCTACATTTTGGTCTCTTCTTATTTTAAAGAGAAATTAAACTTTATACGTACAATTATACGACTATACAGATATGTCTCTATATATGTAAATTTCTTTGTTTTTAACTGATAAGAGAGAAAATGCATGAAAGAAATAGATATAAATTAAACGATAGGAATGTAGTAAAAATAATTCTCGTTTTTTCTATTGTTTTTGTTCTACTCAACCACTGGGATGCTACTTTTTTGTTTGAGAAAGTCCATCTTTTCTAATTGAATATATCCCTTGAACATGATTCTAAAAGGAAATCCAAATGGAGAGTATTTTTGTCTAATAAAGAATAAATCGATATTTATTATTCGTCAACTATGGTTGCTTCTCTCAAACACTATGGTCATACTATGTCCATGATTAAGGATTTATTAGTGTAACCACATATTTTCTTAGTCATAATTAAGTAAACGGTGTGACAGCGCTAATCATAATTAAAGGCTCGTTATGATTGAGAAAAGTAAATAAATACGGAAATTGGATCAAAACTTGCTCATTTTTTTTTGTCGATCGAGTGAACGACGAATTCTGTGAGTTTATTGAACGTTATTAAACAAAGAAAAGTATCTCTACAGCGAATAGAAAACAAACATATTCCAAGCTACAATAATATATCGCTGTTTTTTTACAATTGTTGAATTGTTTAACATAACCAAAAGAACTGTTTGGTAATGTCAAAGAAACAAAAGAATACCTTTTGGTGTTCGGTGTTCAAAATTTTTGTTGATGTTCAAGCAAAATTTTCGTGTGGATGAGTAAGTATTTCAATATTATTATTGACAACAGTCGATAATCAGATACAAAACTGTATCCAGCTATGCCGACATTTAAACAATTAGCTAGTGCATTATTTACAATGGCATCAACCACCGAATATCGTGCAATTTATTTGGAATATCAAAACCTAGCGTAATCAGCATTTTTGATGAATTTGTTCGATGTAACGGTTAAAAAACAATCTAACGATTATGTATACATTTAATCATGATTAGATTGGTCACACTATATTTTAATTATGATTACATCAAACATCTTTTAATCATGCATAAAGTTAATCACAAATAGCAAATTAATTGGGATTACTTTAATCGTGATTAACGATGTAGTGTAAACATAGTAGTAGTGACATTTTGTTTATTAAAAGCAGTATTTTGTTCATCAATTATTGTATATATATATTCTTTTTTTTTGTTCTAAAATAGATACGAGACATTGACACTAGTGATGGTATATCTGACGAAGCATCAGCTCAAGATCGACAACGATTATTTCTAGAACATACTGGTACTAATTTAAAAAGAAAATTACATGATGATTTACAAATAACAAAATCACATCGAATGCGAATAATGAATGTTCGTGGAATAAATAATTATAGTAATACAACTTTTATTTTAATATACATTTGTATATTTTAGGAAAATTCAATGTTAACACAAGAAATAAATACTCTTCGAGAAGAATTAAAACTTGTAAGAGGAAAAATTAATGATTTTGAGATTGCTAAACAAACGTTCGATGACAGAAATGTTCATAGTATCGATGCTGTTATACAAACGTTAAATGCTAATACAGGTATTGAAGAATGAAATAAATTTTTTTATTTGTTTTTATTTTAAAATGATTTTTGTTTTTTAGGAAATTATGGCATGCGAAATCGTGATAAAGAATTGGCAGCCACTGTTCAAGCAAATCAAATGGAAATTCGTCGATTAAGACAGCGATTAGCAACAGCGGAAAATAGTTTTACTTCCGATGATCAATTAGATGAAAATATACAAGACGTTTTACTTATGAAATTATCCTAACTTTTTTGTCTAATAATTTTAATTTTCTTGGTAAACTGTGTGTGTTCGAATAATAAACCAAAATTTAATGAAAAGAATAAACATTGTAAATGGATGACTATGTTCTACTCAGATTCATCTAAAATATCACGGATAATAATTCCAATATAGAAATAAAGAAAAGCTTGATAACGATCCTCTTCTGAATTTTGTGCACGTTTGTCAACGAAAAGTGATCATTTCAACTTTTCCAAGTTAGGTCATTTTTGTTTTATGTCATGTTATCGTTAAGAAACTGCAGGCGGAAATCATAAATAATGTGAGTATCTTCAGGATAGAGGACGGTCAGTCATACTTAAGAAGGAGAAGGTCTGTGGAATGATCACGTGATTGAAAATGTTTTTAGTCGGTCAATTATAATATGTGTTGAATAATCGACGAAATATGATTTTTTGATCTATGTAAATGAGCGGTTTGCAATTCCATTGTACCGTTTAGATGAAAAAATTGTCAAATATACGGAAACTGAGTCCTATATTTTCTTGTACTATATGAGATGATAACAAGAAAAACGTTTCCAAACTACCCGTTTCAATATGGCCGAGATACTCAGATTCTCCAGGAAACCGATCTAGATCCTTGACGTTCTTTGGAGAAAACATCTTGTGTATGGCATAAAAATGCAAGTATGATAAGTATGATATTTGAAAGGTCTCGATGAACGGATGCCGAGGCTTACATAAGCGGCATTCTCGAATACTTGTGTGGGTAGCTAGATCTAAAACCTTGAGCTAATTTTCATTTTTCTCTCGAACTACTCAGACGTTCTTAGACGCTGCTTTTCTCGCTAGAAGTTGACCACAACGAGCAGATAAAAGGAGCAAAGTTTTGTCTCAAACGTCCAGAACAATATAATAAGAGCTATAGAGAAAACAAAATAAAAATCTCGCATGCATTTAGTATGAAAGTCGTAATATTAAGTTGTTTCGATTTTTTTTGCTTGCCAAGACGTAATTCACATGTTTTTCTTTTTCTCATTTTGAGACGTCGTGTGTTGGCTTCAACGGTCAAAGTATGCTCGAAAGTATGCTTTTCAGATTCAGTATAAAAAGTAGAGTATGTGAATGATGGTTGATCGAGGTTGAAGTCAAAGGTCTATCCAGTATGGATGTCTTGGACTTCCCAAACAATTTTGAAAATCGACCCAGGTGGATTTTCGTGCGAAAGCCGCAGAACGACTAAACAGTCGCGACGCGAACGCGGTCGCTATTAGACTAGCGAAATAAGACGTGCTTTTAGCGATCGCTGTAAAGTCTTGCTATAGTAATTCTCGCGACAAGATCTTGCTAGTTATATAAGAAAATCGCGTTCTCGAGGTACCAGTTTTTCTTCTTTGCTGCATGTTCATTCAACATTATTTACGATAAAACACAGTAAAATCACAAAACAGAAAGATAAGCATGAGAAAAAGAGTAATATCAGAGGTTTGCATTTCAGTTAGGAAGGATACTTTGTCAGCATCCAGTTTGGCACTTAAGTGCACCATGTTTTACCGGCTTACTCACATGCTTCGGAACATGGCCATCGGAACATGATGCCCGTAACAAGTACACAGTTATTTCAGAACAGTATATCTGGCGGAAAGTGAAGAAGTCCTTTCGCCTTTCTATTGTTACAAAGTTGAACTAAATGTTTTTTTTGAAGTGTGGCTAAGTCAGAAGGTATTTTGCAAAATCAAATTCGAAAGTGAATGCTTCAAGCTTATCATCAACTGTTGATCTAACGGTATCCACCTATATTTTTCAATTCTGGTTTGCCATGAGACTGGAATTAGATCTCAAAATATACGTGAGATAGATTGATATCGTATTGCTCGTCTATGGATTTTACCGTAAGGAAACGTTTGCTGCATGTGATGAGACCTCACTCTAGTACGTGCAGAGGATGTGTATCCGAGAAATACTAACGCTATGAACAGTTCGTCGCTAGAGCCCGGAGCTAAACTGGAACTCAGGCGACAAAAATTCTTGTTCTGCTAATCATCATCATTCAGTGTATATTAAAAAACACGATTTTCTTACTATTTGACTAGCTCGATGCAGAAGTGTAACCGGTAATATCCGTCCGTATACCAGTGCCGGTACGAATAATACCTTTTTTTGTAAGAATTTTCTGAAAAACAATGTTGTCACGAAATTCAGTATAGTCGACAGCCTATGTTTTCAGGCATTTCTGGTAGTCAAAACCCAAGGAAAGAGAAGTCCGGATGCTTCGGCCAAAAGATCCGCAGCGCTCGAACCAAGCAAAACCAAATATTTGTCTACATCTTATTTTGCAGAGGACACATCGGAATATCCATCTACGAAAAAAGATCGATCGATTACTATGTCGGAAGAAA